ATCATCATCTTCCCAATAGTCTCGGTGGTCCCCATTTCATTCCGGGGTCATGTATTGTACCTTTTGCTTATATTGTGATCATTTATTTTAGGTATAGCCGGGGCCTTATTGCCGGCATCATCTTTACTCTCTTTTGTATCTTTAGAGGCTCCGTAGACACTATATGGGTTATATATGGGTGTTGGAAATGTTAAACCAGTTATGTTGTGTTTGATCACTTGTTCCATTCGAACTATAAGAAATATGTATTTTGAGACTTAAAGGCGCTATGGCTGATTAAATGATTTAGCATCGTATGCATGATCTTCCTTCTGTATAATTTATAAAATTATGTCTTTTCTTGATCATGTGTGAATTGGGTAGAAAGAATCTAATAGGCTTGCTCAACCGGGTTTACTCGGCTGAGTGTCGATCGCGCTCCTCGATTTTGGGGCGTGACAGACCTAAGACTTTTGATGCCGCTTTTATTGGTTATGCTCAAAACAGTGTTGCATATCTTTGAATGATCATTCTATTTGTGAATCTAGAGATGTAGAATTTTTTGAGCATGTTTTTCCATTGAAATATAATGTTCCCACTGATGTGCCTAATAATACTTCTACATCTATATCTGTTAATTCTCATATTGTGCCTTCTTCTAGTATTACTGCTAATGATCATGAAAATGAACTTAGAAGGAGTAATAGACATAGAATTGAAGCTAGTTTTGGTCATGACTTTATCACTACTTTCTTGACTGAAAATATTGAGCTTGATCTTTTGAATTATGAATTAGTGTCTACCTATTTAATAGAAGAAGACCCTAAGACTTATGATGAAGCAATGAGGTCAATAGATGCTAATTTTTGGAAAGAGGCCATTAAAAGTGAATTAGACTCTATAGTTTCTAATCACACTTGGGACTTGTTTGATTTGCCTAAAGGTTGTAAACCCATAAGTAGCAAGTGGATATTTAAGAAGAAATTGAGACCTGATGGTACAATTGAGAAATATAAGGCTAGACTTATTATTAGAGGTTTTAACCAAAAGAAAGGCGTTGACTACTTTGATACTTAGTCTCCCGTAACTAAAATAGCAACTATTAGAACTCTTGTTGCCTTAGCCGTTATTCATAATTTAGTGATACATCAAATGAATGTTAAAACGGCTTTTCTAAATGGTGATTTAGAGGACGAGATCTATATGACTCAACCTGAGGGTTTTGTAATGCAAGGACAGGAGAATAAAGTATGCAAATTGAGAAAGTCTCTATATGGTCTTAAACAGACACCTAAGCAATGGTATGAAAAGTTTAATAGCACACTAGTAGATAATGGATTTGTTGTTAATGCATCTGATACTTGTATTTATTTCAAGATAGTAGGATCAGATTGTATGATTATATGTCTGTATGTGGATGACATGTTAATCTTTGGCCCTAATGTGGATATTGTAAATGAGACTAAGAATTTGTTATCTTCTAAATTTGAAATGAAAGATGTTGGAGAAGCAGATGTAATTTTAGGGATTAAAATCAAAAGAACAGCTAATGATTTTTCATTGTCTCAGTCTCATTATATTGAGAAAATATTGAAAAGGTTTGATTGTTTTGATGTAGCTCATGTGATAACTCCTTATGATCCTAGCATACACTTGAGAAAGAATAAAGAATCTAGTGTTTCTCAAACTGAATATGCTAAGATAATTGGTAGTGTAATATTTCTCATGAATTATGCACGGCCTGATATTGCTTATGTTGTTAGTAGATTAAGTAGATATACTCACAACCCCAGTAGTGAACACTGGAATGCTCTTCATCGCTTGCTAAGGTATTTGAGAGTTACTATGGATTGGTGTTTGCATTTTAATAATTTTTCTGCTGTTTTAGAAGAATTTTGTGATGCAAATTGGGTTACTGACAATGATGAAGTTAGCTCCACTAGTAGCTATGTGTTTACTTTGGGTGCAAGTGCTATTTCGTGAAAGTCTTCAAAATAGAGTTGTATAGCACATTCGACCATGGAATCTGAATTTATTGCTCTTGAGTTAGCAGGGCAAGAAGCTGAATAGTTGAGAAACTTATTGGCAGACGTGCCTTTGTGGGGAAGACAAACTTCACCAATGTCTTTACATTATGACTCACAAGCGGCAATTGAAATTGCTAAGAATAGTGTGTACAATGGAAAAAGAAGACATATTCGCATTAGACATGGTGCGGTAAAATAATTATTAAAATATAGTATTATTTCCTTGGAATATGTAAGGTCCGAAAGAAATTTGACGGATCCTTTAACCAAGGATTTTGGCAAGGAGAGTTATCCTTGAAACGTCGAGGGAGATGGGGCTAAAGCCCATAGATTGAGAAAGTATGGTGGATACCTATTCATGGTCAAACGAAGCCATATGAGACTTTAATATGCACTATATTTCCTATCCCTATGACGTGTGGTAGTGCTTTATAAGGTTGAGCCTATTTTTCTCTTAATGATTCCATATCCTTAGGTGGTCTATATGTTTATAGACTTGGTGAAATCACCTACATGAGTGTAAAGGTGCGGTCGCCTTTTATGAAAGACTTGGGATGTCTTTCTAGAGCACTCATGAGGAGACCCAAGGTGTGTGCATGACCATAAAAGTACTTTATTAGTATCGCGGAGTTTGCATAAAATTAAGGATATAGTATGTGTGTTGAGGGTCTCAACTCATGTCCATTCAGTTCAAGAGAACTTCACTTTGTGGATATTAGTCGTTGCCTCATTTCACTACGTGTCAATTCAAATCAAAAGATATTGACACTTAAATACATATTCCTTCCTTTTGCCCAGGAATTATTCTTATTCTTTATCTTTGCATTAGTGGGGGATTGTTGGTATTATTCCTCTTTAGGTGTTACTCTAATTTGATAATGCAAAGAACAAAGAACACTTCTAATCTACAATTAATCCGTGGTTAATTGTCATACCTCTCCACCATTAATTTATTGTAACATTTCTAGATTTTATGTATATGCAGAGTGGGAGAATAAAGTTACTACTTCATAAATGGTTCACATTCATTCATATGACAGTTTCTTAACTTTTGTGACTTCGTTTGTGAAAAGATACAACTTTTCAGAAGGTTTGAAGTTACTGTCTTTATGACAATTTTGTCATTAAACCAAAATAAATATTACATAACATTAACTCACATTTGGCCTCTTACGATTTTCTGATGGAAGAAAACGTAAATGATTTGCCTATATAAACATCATCATTTGTGAGCTAAAACACCAACCAAAAACATTATTCTCTCATCCTCTCAAAAGACTATTCTTCTTCCTATTTTTTACGGGCAATTCTTTTTTGCAAACTCCAAACTTCCAGCCACGAGTGCACGCGTTTGGAAGTATTGTGGAACCTTGGGGAGCGACTGGTCTTAACGATTTGCACCCAATCGGACCGAAATCGCTTTCAAGACAGTGGCTTGCCACGACACAGTATTTATTCAATAAGTTATTTCTATTCTTGATCAATATTATCTACTATTTTTCTTACATTTATTTCATGTGAAAGCTATTGAATCGATTGAGTTAATTTCTCAAATAATCACTAGGTTGGTGAAATATTGTAGTAAAGTACTTAATCTTATTTTTGTAACAATAAAATTACTTAAGTCAAAACTTGTTTCATATAAAATAATGTTAGAGTATCTCGGTCATTTTAACAAACAAAAAATGTATCATTATATTTTACCAAAATAAATTAAATGTTTATCATCAATTTCAGCAGTTATATTCATTATGAATTACTTATATATAATATATTTTCAATATTTATTGCTTATCAGTTACTTTAATCAATTAAGTCGGCTCTAAATCATTACGAATCTTTTAACAAATAGCTGGTTGATAGCATTATTTTATTTTTTTAGTCGGTATGCATAGATTATACGTTATATATATATATATANTCTTGGCTAAACAGGAAATATATAGAGTATTACGATTGCCTTTTTTTTTTTTTTTTTTAATTTTTAAAATTGGCTTTTTCTCGACAGTCTAGTTAGTTATTATTCATAACTTGGCTCAAATTGCACGTTTTGTTCCAATATAAATAAACATGAAAAGAATGGTCATAACTAATCTACTTAACGTCTTACAAAATTATCAGGACAAGAAGCTCAGATAAGACTTGAGGATTAAAGAATCTTGGATTTCTCAATTTTATCAACAGTAAGTGGATTAGATTATGTCCAAATGGTTTTGGATTTTATCTTATCATGTTTCTTTTCTTTTAATTTTTTATGCCTTTGGGCCAAACTTATACAATGTGTACACTCTATGTAGGTCCGTTATTGCTTATGTTTCGACTTAACCAAGTAGCTTGGTATCATATTTGTGTTGAATCTTTTATTTAATATGCATAAATAATTCAAGAATACAGTTACTTTTTTGGAATTTAAAATTCATAAACTTAAAATCCTAATTTCGACTCTAAATTAAGAAGAACCAGAAACATTCGTCACATTCAATCATTCATACAAAAATGCTGTCTGGTGGTAGTCTCCTCTAAATTCTAATAAATGGTTTACACTTCGATTAAACTAGCAAACTATTCGAAGCCAATTATTATAATAAGTGCCCATTTGATTTTTTTTATTTTTATTTTTATTTTATTTATTTTTACAACTTTTCCCTGAATTGTTTTTTGTTTTTTTTTTATAGAATAAGTGATTGGCCATGAAATTTTAAATTTCACTTAAAGTTGAATTTTAAAATTTTAAAAAATTTTAAAAAGTTATTTTTAAAATTTTTTACTTCAAATAACTGGAAAAAAAAAAAATTCAAAAACAACTCCAAATTATATTCATGTCCAAACACAACTCTAATTTTCAAATACCATTTCACTTGAATTTTTTCCCCACTTTTTTCGAAATTTCACAATTCTTGTGCCCAAACTCCCACTAAGATTAGTCCCCACATCGTATAAATAATATTTCTGAAATGTTAAAAAAAGATCTACGTTTACTTAACCCCCAAAAAAGTAAAAGCTTAGGTCAAAGCAAGGGATCTTACAAACTATCCTATTTCTTTCATGGCATAAACAAAAAGTGTAACCAACCATAAAAGAATCCTAGCCCGTCAAAAACTACAATAAAATAACTTACTTTCACATAATTATTTTTTTAAAAAAACGGATTAATTATCCACTCACTCTTACAAGAAACTCTATCGAACACAACATTTTTTTCTGGACAAGGTAGTAGTAAGTCAGTGTACTCGCTACCCTCCCCAGACTCCACTTGATATGTTGTTGTTGTTGTCGTCGTCGTCGTCTCTCGAGAAAACGGAGGAGGAAACAAAACGAACATAGCTTCATTACTTATTCAAATTTGGTAGTTGAAAATCTCCCACTTCATAATACTCTTCCGTCTCAGAAGTATGCATTTGATAAGAAGTTGCAGCATTTGGCAACATAGGATGATACTGATGAAAGTAGTTATTAGGTGTCGCCATTGGAACAAAATAACACAATGGTTGAGGTTGTTGATCAACATTATTGCTAAACAACATATTATTATCTCGGGCCAAATCCCTGTGACACATCGTTGACTTTCGATAACATTTCCACTAGCATTTAATATCGCTAAATGTGGCTCATAACCGGTACCGGTGCAGTGAGGTATTCCAGTTGAGATTCCCGAACTTTGATGATTATCTCGTTGTATAATCTGATGTTGCCCAAATGGCATAATTTCTGTCTCCGGGAAATTCAACGGTGGCACCAATTGTTGTTGTTGCTGCTCAATAATTTCAAGTTGCAAACTACTTATTCTAACCAAACTCTGCATTACACATTGAGTATTTGGCTGAGTTACTTGCTTTCCAAGAAAACTCATTGCATGCATGTCTTCTAATGATATTGTCTGCGTTCCTTTCAAGAGTTCCAACCTGTTAGAAAAATAGTAGAAAGATATAATTGTAAGATGTCTTTGAAGCGCGAGTAATCACTATCTTTAAATAGAAAAATTAACCCAAATAGTCATCCACCCAATCACTTAAATTAAACATAGTCGGCGGAGGTATAATATCTATACATAATTTATGTAATATATGTGTATGATTGTTATAATCTATATATATGGCTAGAAAAGTAAATAATGAATATGACCGGCTATTTCTGTAAAGACCCCAAATAGAACTCCTGCATACTTCTAAGTAAATTTTATGTCCGAATTCATAGTCAAAACTAAGTAAATTTCGAACAACGTCGCATAAATTGGGACCGAGAGAGTATTTAACAATACCTTTGCTTCATAAACTCTATTTTCGCACCCAATAAGGCAGAAAGTTGTTTGAGTTGATCAGAAGATAAACTATCGTAGTGTTGATCCCAAGTTGGATACTTAGCCTCAAAATTTCTTTTGCGTAATTTTGAAGACTCGATCTCGACTTTTCTCGTTAAGTCTCTGAAGTAAAAGGATAAATCATGAGTTCTCAATCTCTTATCATCGTCCGATCGGGCTCTGTACGAGTAGATTAAGCTCAGAACTGTATCTTTATCGGGCCAGATTGTTGGTTCGCTATCTTTTGGACCGTATACAATCATGCATAGCTTGACTTGACATAAAATTGATAATTCATTCGACTTTTTCTCCAAACTTTTTTTTCTCTTTTGATACGTCGAATTTCGAGATCTTTCGTTTTTAATCAGTTCCATGCCAATTTTTCTTCGGCTCATCTGTTGAATTCACAAGAAGTTCAGGAAAATTTGTGATTTTGGGTAATAAAAAAGAAAATGGCTAAGTTAAAGTAGCATATTCTATATTTAAAGTAATGTATAGAGTTTTAATAAATTTTCCTACTACCACAGATAATTAAATTGGTCTTATATGAAGGTATACCATTGTTTTCCTTAAGAAAGAAACCTTTGGGCAAGAACAATTAATTACTTCATTCGGTCCACTTTAATTGATTTTTTGATTGTTTTCACATGTATTAAGAAATTCATGTTTTAGCATTAATTAACAATAAAATTGACCATATTAACCATAATTTACTCCAAGAACTAACTTTGAAAAAACTAAGTTAATTTCTTCTTGATATCTACGAAAAATAAATATTGTGGACCAAAAGGAGCACTCATTTACATGCTAAAAATAAATATTGTCTCTCAAAATTCGAAGTGCATCACATAAATTAGAAAAGAAGGAATATCTAAGATGAAAAAAATATAATTAAATATAATAGAGCCTAAGGTTCAAGAGCAAGAAAATCTTTATACAAATAGTCGGTCTTATACATGGATTATACATATACTTACTATTTTAAGTTTAAGTGCTTGGATCGACTGCTATTTAAGTTAATTCTTCAAAATTGAAAGCATCTATACATCTTCTTGAAGAAATTTCAGTTAATTGTCTTTATGTGACAGAACAATAATAAGAAACTCATAAGTATTTGCAAACATAAAACATCAAAATCAAGAAACTTTGTCTGTTTTAAAAGTATATATGTTTGTCTGGTACAGAATAATTGTTCAGTAAATTAAAGCCAAGAAATTAACAATTACCTCTTTGTAATTAACTTTAAATCTTCAAAATTAAACCCTTTGTTTCTGAAACACCAATGTGGCTGAGATAGTCAGCCTAAAAGAAAAGTATGCAAAAGTTTAGTAACCCAAATGCCAGAAAAAATAAAAATAAATAAACAAGAACACCAATAATTAATACAACTGCTTGAATTAATTAAACCCAATTTCAGGAATAATTGCTAAAGTAATTGGACGAATTTCTTACTACAAAATAAATAATAATTAAAAAAAATGAGGATAGAACAGAGCTAAAAACAGCAAGAAAGAGAGAAATTGAAGAAGGAATACCAAATTAGTCGCCGAGTTAAATCAAAGAAGAAGGCTTCAATCTCCTTTTAAGGTATTTTATACTTACCATTTTTTGTTCTTTGTATGTATGTAGTCTAAATTGTAGTACTAATACGTTTTGAGTAAGAATATTTTTCTTTCCTTTTTGGTTTACTTCGTATATTTTCTTTTTCCTAATTTTGCTTGTTAGCTTTTATTTCATTTTTAGGTTCTTATATTGATTATGTTTCCTTTAATAGAAGTTGTACTCAATTTACTTGTCCACTCTCTACGTTCAAGCCTTTTATTAGTCTTTATTTAATTTTCTAGGAACACCACCCAATTGTAGTAATAGATTTCCACGAAATACATGGGTTTTTCTATTCAATATGGTAAAAACACCCCTTCAAATGCCATTAAAATTTAAGCGCACACAATATTTATGTCAAATCAATAATAATTTCAATGTAGACAATTTACTCTAATGAAAACATTAATGACTGTTTTCACGGTTTGAACTCGTGACTTTTAGGTCATTCAGAGACAATTTTATCGTTGATTCAAGATTTTTCTTCTTTTTATCATCTAACTATTGTTAATTAATATGCCTTTTCACCTCATTTATTACTTAACCGTGATAAAATACATCGATTTAGTGTAAATAGGGTGTTCGCAAGTCCTAACCAAGAATGTCACATAATGATTTCTTTTTTGCTTTGTTTTCTTGGTGACTTCAGAACTAAAAATCATGTGTTACAAAATACTTAATTAGCGACGTGTTTAATAAAATGTAGTAACAAAATTTTATATTTTCACGTGGTTATTTGGTGTATCGCGCGAGTACTAATACTAGTTTTTATTACAACAATCATATAATAAGTGGAGACTAATTGTAAAATAAGATAACTAATTTGGTGCAATAAATTAAACTGCTTTTGTACCGTAAAAAGAAGTGTTACATTGTTATTATATTTATGTCAAAATCTTTTGAAGAATATTAAAAAAAAAAAAAAAATTGGGATCAAAGTTAATGAATTGCGACATTTTATTTAACATGCCGTGGTCTGTGTGTTGGATTTAACTAGTTCTTATTGGCAAAACTATACAGTATAGCTGCTCTAAAAAATAATAGCCGATAAATATAATATACAAAAAATATATATGATTTATGCATAATTAATATGTATTTTTTGTATATTGACTAGTAAATGTAATTATTTGGGCCGGCCGGCCAAATATGTAACTTGTCTGTTCTTATTTGGGTCAGCCCAATTTAAGTCTGTACACGGTCATTGGGAGCATTGATACTGAACAATGGGAAAAAAAGAAAGGGAAAATGACACTATAGTGCCGCTCTAATAGTCAAAACAATATACATTTATGTTATATATAAAAATTATACAAATTTGATACCCTCTTTCGACTACCAAATATAAATAGTTGCCGGCAAAGTGTAAAAAGCCCAAACGATTTATGCAAATGCCTCTTTAAGATTGAACTGCTTTGCTTCTGCAAAATGAAATGTGATAAGTGATAACTAAATTCAATACTATTTTCTGGCATTATATACACAAGACTTCTTTCAAATTTGTGTTGCAACATTGTACTATGACAATTTCTACACTGTCAAAAAGAGCTTTTACATGCAATTGCAACATCTCAGAAAAACTCCGTATATTTTCTTTGTCCTAGTTTTGCTTGTTACCTTTTATTTCATTTTTTTAGGTTCTTATATCGATTGTGTTTCCTTTAATAGAAGTTGTACTCAATTTACTTGTCCACTCTCTCCGTTCAAGCCTTTTCTAGGAACACCACCCAATTCTAATAGATTTCCACGAAATACATGGGTTTTTCTTTTCAATATGGTAAAACACAAAGTTTATGTCAAACCAATAATAACTTCCGCATACTCTTTTATCATCTAATTAAAGGACAGTCTGGTGTACAATTATCCCCCGTTCACATAGAGTTCAGAGAAGGGCCGTACCTCAAGAGGTGTGGTGTAGACAACCTACCCTAATGCAAACATTAGTGACTATTTTCACGGTTCGAACCTGTAACCTATAAGTCACACGAAGGCAACTTTACCGTTGCTCCAAGATTTTCCTTCTTTTATCATCTAACTATTGTTAATTAATATATATTTCACCTCACTTATTATTTAACTGTGATAAAATACATTGATTTAGTGTAAATACGATGCTTCCAATGTATACGGTAAAATACGTCATGATACGTGGCCGCTTGAGAGAATGATACGTGGAATTAAAGGCGAGGGATAGTTAGAACCGAAGGCAGTTAACCCGTTTGTCGCCGAAAAGAACAACACTCGTAAAGATACAACAAATACCCTCCAACCGGTAGCATTTAATGGAGGATATTACATAACATTTAGTGTGCTGCCCCGTTACAGAGAATTTTTGTCATTTATGCTCACCGTTACACCTTCATCAATGGCCCTCATAATTGACATTAAAGAAGGGCACGATCCTATGACCTTGTTCCCTAGGCGTAGCTATAAATAGTGAGCTCTGTTATCGTTGTAGAGAACATGACTTTTCTGGCAAATTTACGCTATAATCAATCAAAAGCTTTACATAACTTTACTTTCTTTTTCCTTATTTTCATCACTGTTTTACCCGAAAATTCTGCTCCCGGAATTACTGTTTTTCGTGATTTTACCTTCACTTCAAGGCTAAGTATTGCGCATTTCTTTAATTATTTCATTATTTTAGGATCAAATTAATTCACTTATCTAGAAATCACGTATAAATTCAAGTGTACCGTTTTATGGGTAACACCCAAGTCTTAACCAAGAGTCACACAATGACTTCTTTTTTGATTTGTTTTGTTGGTGACTTCAGAACTAAATATCATGTGTCACGAAATACATGATTTACCGACGTGTTTAATAAAATGTTGTAATAAATTTTATATTATCAGGTTACCTTAATAGTTATTACATCAATCATATAATAAACGGAGACTAATTATAAAATTAGATAAGTAATCTGGTGCAATAAATTAAACTGCTTTTGTACGGTAAAAAGAGGTGTTACATTGCTATTATATTTATGTCAAAATCTTTTGAAGAATATTACAAAAAAAAAAAGGTGATAAAAGTTATTGAATTGCGACATTTTATTTAACATGTCATGGTCTCTGTGTTCGATTTAACTAGTTCATATTTGGGTCAGCCCAATTTAAGTCTGTACATGGTCATTGGACTTCAGCAATTGATACGGGTGGAAATGAAAATATATCCATAGTTTATAATATATTTACAGATTAGTTAATTAATCCAAATTTCAGGATACTGACGTTCTAAAGTTTGAACTTCATGACATTGTGTTGAAAAGTTCGAAAATTGTGTTCAAAAATTCGAATCTTATGCCTTTAATTTAAAATTGGCAGTTCAAAAATTCATGACACTTAGTCCTGAATTTTAAATTAGCTAACTTATAAATTTAGGATACTAAGGGTGTGTTTGGTATGACCGAAAACATTTTTCGAAAATTCCCTTTTTCCACTGTTTGGTTGCACAAAATAGTTTGGAAAATATTTTCTTAGATATCACCTTTTCCTGAAATTGGAGGAAAATGACTTACCTAGAAAAAGTTAAGAAAATATTTTACAAAAACTCAACCTACCCTCACATCTAACCCCAACCCCCTCCCTCTTCTCTCCCCT